TGGTTCAGCCATAACCTGGGAATCATGAAAACACAATGCAGTGTAGCTCTATCTTCAACGGAGGCGGAATATATGGCTTTGTCTGAGGCTGCCAAAGAAACTGTCTACCTACGTCATTTCCTGACAGAGCTGGGTTACAACATAGAAAACCCAACAACAATATACTGCGACAATCAAGGGGCTCAAATTACGAAGAACTCAGTGTTTCACTCCCGTGCAAAGCACATAGACATTTGCCATCATTTTGTGCATGAAGTATATGAATGCGGTGAATTAGATGTGCAGTACAAATCTACTAGTGAAATGGGAGCTGATGTGTTAACCAAACCCCTGACTCCCGTTAAACATCAACAAACTGTTGTACAATTATAGGACTGAATACTGTTTAATATGTATTTTGTTTTTGTTTTACTTTTCAGGAATAGGAGAATCAACGTCGAAAGGGGATATGTTGGCAACCGCCGTTGATTTCCCTAGCGCATGCGCATGATAAGCGAGTTCTCTGCTGCGTAACACTTATACTTAGTTAATAGGTAGTTAGCCAAAAGTCAATGGTGAGTATTGCATGTAAGCGAGAAGGGCTAAGCGCTGTGTAATATCTTGTTTCTACTCTGCTGTTCAACGTCTTCGTAGTTTAAATAAATGTTTGTCATGTGTGTGGAAGATGTCATTTTATTCTTCAAGAACAAATTATTTTTTTGATTTTAATGTAAAAACTCTCCTGGTATTTCATTCCTGGATTTGTTTTCTTTTGATATATATGCCTTAATTTCTTTGACATATTTTAATATGCACATATATATATGTTCTTACAGATATCATAAAAAATATTCTAGGCCGTATATATACAGCCTTGTTGCTTAGAGGGTTAAACAACTTCCGTTCAAAACTTCAAAGCTTTAAATATTCCTACCTTTTGATTGCCACATGCAAGAACCAAAACTAAAAAAAATAATTAACTAAATAAAATTAAATGAAAACATTCATAAATTATAAACTTCACATCATCTAAAATCCAACATTCTCCCACCAACAACAGCTTAACCTTCTGCAAATATTTATATAAATATATATATAACAATAATATTAAACAGTAAAACTTTTAAAAACAAACACAGTATTTCAAAATTAAATTTTTAAAAAATCTTCTGGCTACACTAAATTCGTGCTCTTACAGTTACCGAAATAAAGCTCTAGGTTTGTCACAAGAAAACAATACATCCGGAAACCATAACCAAATCAAAATCGCGCCAAATAAAAAAAACTCTTGCCATGCTTGGCACTCACTCCGATTATGGAATTTTAACCTAATATTATATGCTATTCTTGATTCTGGTTTAATCCTTGTTCAAAACACTTTACTTTTATACCTGGACTACAAAAATCTATGTTTTCTAACTGTTAAGGAAGCAAATTCATAAATTATTTTATCAATATTAATTTTGGTACAACTCTGATATACGCCCTAATTTCACCAAATGTGGCGATATGTGCTCTGAGCTGGTTTTTGGTGTGTTTGCATGTTATAAGGCAACCCTGTTGACATTGAAAAATCTTTTGCTGGAGCTCGTTGGTTTGCGCCATGCTCTGTGTCTGAGAAGATAGGGGGAAAAGATAAAATGGTGGAAGTTGTTGAATTAAAGTTCGGCAAAAGGAAATAGCATCATGGCCATCCTGTTGAGGGGCAGTGGGTATTTGGAGATGTGGAAAGAGGGTCTGGGAGATTATTTTTAGTGGCTGTGCATGATAGAAGTAGGGATTTGTGATTATTTGTGATTTTACTTATTTGTGAACCATAGTATGAATTTTCTGGATAGTGTGTCTGGCTGTCATATAAATACAGTAGTGATTACGTGGCGGCATTTTAAAGGCGGTATGAAATTGGTATTTCTTCTGTTCGAAAAAGCATTAATTCATGGTAACCGCATTTTATTTTATTATTGTTCTTATTTTGTAGAATGTTATGTTCATTGTTTTTTTAGTATGAATTTCTGTCATTATTGTAGTTTTTTTTTAATTGTTTGAAATTTATTTTAGTTATTTTAGTTTATTTTGTTGATTAGTGCGTAGCGTCTAGATTGTGCAATTCGTAGATGTTTTGTAAAGTTGAAACAGAACACTGCATCCATGGTATTCTTTGAAATTTATTGTTGTTATATTAATTTATTTATTTGTTATGTTAATTTATTAAAGCGAGGTGTGCGTAGTTCGTAGATTCGTTTGTTGTCTAGATTGTGCAATTCATAGATTTTTTAAAGTTTAAACAGGATGCTGTATACATGATATTCTTTGAAATTTATTGTTGTTATGTTAATTTATTAAAGCGAGGTGTGCATAGTTCGTAGATTCGTTCGTTGCCTAGACTGTGCCATTCTTAGATGTTTTTTTAAGTTAAAACATATCGCTGTGTACATGGATTCTTGTCAAATATTTTTGGTTAGAAACTTTACTTTTTGCTATCTAAATTTTTTGTTTTTGTTTCGGATTTTTAGCTTAAATTGTGTGTTCAAAACGTGGTTTTGCATGTGCGAAAACCGCATTTTTGGAGATATTTTAGGCTTAAAGTTCGAAATGTAGACAAAAAATTTAGATAGTAATATGGCAGCATGGAGTGTCTTGCCAAAAATATTTGGTGACTTGAGGGTGCATATCAGAGTAGTTCCTTCATTTTTTATGCTCGATTATTCTTAATTAAGAGCAAAACTGACAAGTCTTTCCTATTCTAACTGCTTCACAAATAGTTTTCAATTAATTTCAGTTTTGAAAATGATTGTTCAGCCATAGCCACAATCACATGAATCTTTAAGTACATGATGTATACAGTGCATACACGAGAAAAACTCAAAGAAGCAAACTCTGATTTATTGTCAACAATTCTGCTAATCCTTTGACACTATTAATTTTTTTCAAGTACCTCTTTAAATGATGCCTTCACTACACATAATTGGAATGGAAATGTTGATGACACATTATCCAAATACATTTGCACAAAATCAATTCCTTTGTCATGGATCTCCTTTTTTCATTTATTTTTCATAATATATTCCAGTTGAATTACTTGGTAAGTATTAACCCTTTTGTGATGGCACACCTTTGTTGAAGACGCTCGTGTGGGACAGAAAGGAATCGAAGGCAGTCGCATCGCTAAGCCTAATTTTATTAAAAAAAATCAGAAAAACAAGTTTCACTTCTAGCATCGTAATTTTTGGTATTTTAGATTATTGCTTGAGCTCTTATATATGTTAAAATTAGCATTTATAGCCTTTTTTTTTTTTTTTTTTTTTTTTCTTTATTATTTTACATGAAAATTTATTTAAAAAATTGCTTACCTTGTAAAATAATTTTTGGAAGTTCTATTCAAATTATTCCAAAGTTTTAATTGATAAAATCCATCAATAAAGTTTAAAATTAATAAAACAATACAATAAAGAATATTTACAGTAAGAAGTAACAGAATTTAAAATGAAGACTGAGTGTAGTAAATCTCGAAGACAGAGAAGTATCACTTTCTAACTCTTAGAAAAATTATCACTTTCTAACTCTTTAGAAAATGAATCATCATTCTCATCTGTGTTAGTAAATGGTTCATTGACCATACAAGTGTATTCTTCCTCTGAAAAACAGCGCCTGAATAAAAATACTGCCATAATAGACTGGAGGTGAGGCTTTCTGAAATAAAAGAGAAGAACCCGAAATATGTCTGTGGCAATGCAAAACGTAATAGAGCTCCACATAGTAATCCTAAAAGACAGTACATGGTAGAGGAAAAAATAGAATAAAAAAAGAAATTGGATATAAATCAGACACGCCAATGTTTATATTAGCATGCGGGGATTAGCCCACCTCTATTTACACTTTCCCTCCCCCACCTTCACAACAGTTGATAAGTAAAATACCAAAGTCAGGCAGAATATATCAAACTCAAACTATGTTCACTAAAACTGTGTTCATTTCAAAAGTAATAAGCATAGGATGCCATCTCGTGGTCTTCAGAAAAAGTTCCAGATTAAAATTTGTATATGAATCACCCATCCTCTGAATGCAATCTCTAGCGATGCGTGGATGGGATCCCCGGCTGTAAGAGATATTCTTAGGAAGTGCATATATGGGATGCCCGTCCTGAAAGGGTTAAGAATCTTCAAGGAAACAAAGATGAAGCTGAGTGTATAAAGTACTTATCATTAGATAAAACACAATTACTTTAAAATATGATTCTGGATTTTTTAACCATTCATCTTTACCCAATTCACCATAATGTTCTTGCAGTTTTCTAACCCTACTAAGACAAAACAGTTTAACTATTTTCCAAGATCTTCGAATTTTCTTGACATTTCAACATTGTTAAAGAAAGCAGTCTCCAGTAACCGATATACTGATAATAGATCTACAGCTTTAGATTACAAAGACTTTGAAACAATATTTAGGAATCCTGAAGTTAATTCAATATTACTAAAAAATCACAATAATAACAACAAGCTATTCTAGAGTGTCTTTTGATTATCCATGGCCCCAGTTTCAACTTTAGATAAAACAATTATCATACACGTATTTGTATATGTATGGATTTAAACATTTTGTATTTAACTGTCATTTTTTATCTTCTTTCCCTTCAGCCAAATACATTTTAGTTATCCTTATAAAATTTGTTTCTGATAAAATGCTTCTTTTTAATATTATTCATGAAATAAATAGTAGTACCTATAAGCTTTAAAAGCAGCTGAATATTTAAAATCATTTGCAAAATAACCAATGACTTGGTAACTTTTTGCGGGAATGCAAATAATTACAATATGATTTTAATGCATGAATCAAGTTAAATCAAATAATTGAAACTAATGTATGTTTATATTGTCCAAGAATCTAACAAAACTTTAATATTGAAAATGCATAAATTAATAAAATTTTGTTTCACATCCATTAATAAATATTGCCATAGAATTTTTCAAAAAATTGTCTAGCATATTATATTAACCACGAGAGTACTAAAATATTAAACTTACTTTTAAACTTTTATTTCTTATAGAAAAACCACGAAACCATCCTGAAAATAATTCATATACATATTATTTTTTAAAAACTGAAGCAGAAATTTATCACAAAAAAAGTAATATTAAGCTGAGCATTAAATAACACAAAAATGCAAAAAAAGTCAATTTAAAAACAAAGTTCATACATATAATCATTACACTCTTATTAGTTAAAATCTGGTTAATTCAAAACTTCAGTTAATTAAAACTAGTAATCCAAAAGCCCCCAAAAACTTGAATTGGAATTAATGTTAAAAATATCTCATTAATCCAAACTAAGTTTTTATGGAGAAAAACAATATCTATTTTGTGTGTCATTAATCCAAACTAAGTTTTTATGGAGAAAATACATGCTATATTTACTATTTTGTGTGTCAATATCATCAGTATTTTTTTTTCCCCCTGTGTAAAGAGGCACATGCTTGCATTTGTATAACTATTATAATATTAAATTAGTAAAGTAAGTTAAAGTAAACTAACTTACTTTTATAAAACTGCTCTAACAGTCTGCAAAAAATAATAAGCCGAATCCATTTCGATGATTAAGGAACAACGCAATCTGCAACATTAACTGAATTAGATAATTTTAGCTTAGCTTATACCATCCGTTATACATTAAACTCGCATTTGTAAACGTATGTTGCGCATGCACACATGCGTATTCGCAACCGTAAAAGTCTTACGCGCATGCGCAGAAAGTTTGTAGCTTTGAGGTCCGGATTACAGATCATTCTGGATTATGGGTGTCCGAATTAACGACTTTTGACTGTATGTCATTGGAAATTATTAATATCGTGGAAATAATTATATATCATTGAAAATTATTTTATACGAAATATAATGCAGTTTAATGTAGCAAATTATCTTTATTATGTAAAATATTATAATAGTTATAAAGGCAAGAAAAAAGAAAAACTATCTCCTATAAAGAAAGGAAATTACTTAATCTTCAAAGTGAGAAAAAACCATGAGTTATGATGCAGCAAAACAAATCCAAGAAGGTTTAGCATAACATCATTTGCAACCAGAATTCAGGATAAAATATGTTTAATTGCTTCACTACCAGTTAATTTTTCTTTGTGCATGTGTGTTTTTTAGGGTAATTTCTGCATGTAAGCTGTGAAATTTGCTTAGGATGACAAGCAATCATCAAAAAAAAAAAAAAAGTAGTTCACTCATCACCAAGAAACGCACGTAGAGAATTTTTTTAAGTGAAAAATTTAACATTTATAGCACTATTAAAAAAAGGTGAAAACGTAACACAGAAAGAATTTTTGGTACAACTCTAATATAAGCCCTAATTTCACCAAATGTGGCGATACGTGTTCTGCGCTGGTTTTTGGCACGATTGCGTGTTCTATGGCAACCCTGTTGACGTTGACGTTGAAAATCTTTCGCTGGAGCTTGTTGGTTTACCTCTGTGTCTGAGAAGATGGGAGGGAAAGATAAAATGATAGTTGTTTGAATTGAAGTTCGGCAAAAGGAATATGATTGTGGCTATCCTGTTGAGGGGTATTGGGTATTTGGAACTGTGGAAAGAGGGTCTGGGAGATTATTTTAATGGCAGTGCATGACAGAAGTAAGGATTTTAATGGCAGTGCATGCTAGAAGTAAGGATTTGTAATTTTATTTATTTGTGAACCATAGTATAAATTTTCTGGATAGTGTGTCTGGCTGTCATGTAAATGCGATAGTGATTACATGGCGGCATGTTAAAGGCGGTATGAAATTTATATTTTTCTACTATTCAAAAACGCATTAATTCATGGTAAGTGCATTTTATTTTATCCTTGTTCTTATTTTGTAGAATGTTATGTTCATTGGTTCTTTAGTATGAATTTCTGTCGTTATTGTTTTTTTTTTTAAATTGTTTGAAATTTATTTTAGTTTATTTTGTTGTTTAGTGTCTAGACTGCACAATTCGTAGATGTTTTTTAAAGTTGAAACAGAACGCCGTGTACATGGTATTATTTGAAATTTATTGTTGTTATGTTATCGTAGATTCCTTCCTTGCCTAAATTGTGCAATAAATAGATTTTTTTTAAAGTTTAAACAGGATGCTGTGTACATGGTATTCTTTGAAATTTATTGTTGTTATGTTAATTTATTAAAGCAAGGTCTGCATAATTTTTAGATTTGTTCGTTGCCTACATTGTGCAATTCGTAGATGCTTTTTTAAGTTAAAACATGTCGCTGTATACAGAGATTCTTGTCAAATATTTTTGGTTACAAACTTTACGTTTTTGCTATCTAAATTTTTTGTTTTTGTTTCGGATTTTTAGCTAAATTGTGTGTTCAAAACGTAGTTTTTGCATGTGCGAAAACCGCGTTTTTGGAGATATTTTAGGCTAAAAGTTCAAAATGTAGACAAAAAATTTAGATAGTAATATGGCAGCGAGAAGTTTCTCACCAAAAATATTTGGCAAGAAATTTGGCGACTTGAGGGCGCATATCAGAGTAGTTCCGAATTTTTTTAAACTGTGAAATATGTATCAGCAGATTTAGCTGATTGAAACTCAAACTACTAAAAGTAGGAAATGGTCCATAATAGCATGTTATGAGAGAAGAACCATACAACTATACTGCAGTGACAACAAAAAGAAAAGTCTATATTATCCTGTCAACCATGGAAGTTGACTCCCATCAAAGTACGAAAGTTGTGCCAATATTTTCTGTGAAACTCTGAGCTTCTATCTGGAACCCTTACAATAAAACATTTACTGGTTTCTCTGTACAAACCACCAAATAGCCATTGCAGCAGCAAAAGTATTCAACCTGCTTCATTTTTGCATTTTATAAAAAGGTTTTCGTCAATTTCTACTGTTTAATTAAGCTTTCCAATTTAGCAGAAGTTTTATTTGGAACACTATGAGTACATACTTCCCACAGATGATTGCTCCTATATGTTATGTTCTGTTACTGTTCTGTCAGCAATATCCAGGTCTCCTTTCAGATGTGGTTTAACAGATGTTAATTTGCTCAATCAGAGTGCAGTCAGAAATGTCATTCTACAGTCCTGAATTCATGTTTTTCAAAATGTATGAAAAAAAGAGCAACAACAGTTAATTTATAACCTTGTTTATAAAAACAAAAGGTGACTTATGTAGAATGTGTTATCATGTTGCAACATCATGCTTATCCTTAATATACGCTAAATTCTGCTTTTTGGCCACCGATCCAAGGTTGATACGCAAACAACCCTCCGCCAAAAATGAACTACAGCAAAAATGATTCATGTAAAAATGGTGCAAACATAAGTGCCAGACAAGAACTAAAAATTATATTTTAGGGGGCCAAAAAAAATTAGATAAATCATTTGGAGAGATGAAATCTGAGTATCATATTTAATAATAACATAATAAAATGTGTCAAACATGAATATTTAGTGCCTACTTTTAAAAAAATACTGAATCACTATTTCCAAACAATATCATCTCATCACCATGCTCTGTTTTAGAATTTAATACAAATGATTAACTAATTACATATTCAGAATTTCAAAAATCTAATATAAATCAGACATCTATAAAATAATCTAGTCAAAAACATTATAAATACACACAGAAAATGTAAATTTATGCATGCAAACACAATAGAAATTTCACAACTTTCATTCAAATATCTCACAAATTAAATGAGATCAATACATGGAATACTTTTAAAATACTTAGTAGTAAACATATCGTTAATTAAATATATAATGGATCCAACACACAAACAGTTCATATACTTTTAAAAATACTAAAAATCATGGCTAAATTATTCATACATTCATTCACATATTTCTTACAGCTGAATTTTCCAAGTCAGACAAAAAGAATTTGAGGAAAAATTATTTTATTATTTTATTACATTTTAACTTTACAAAAATTGTACCTATTCTTCTAGTAACACTATTGGTTTAAATCTGTAAATAGCTGTAAGCCTATATGGCAATCCTAAATCTTAATATAGTAAAACAAGAATTCATATAAAAAGAATTTCTTAAATAACTGCACGTTCAAAAGAATATCCCATTCTCTTAATATCTGAAACAAAAACCTGATTAACAGTACAGTATTAATGAGAATTTATTGTGTGATTTAGAACAGTGTTTCTCAACTGGATTTACTCTAAGGACCGGTAAAAATATTTCGAAAGATTCTCACGGACTGGTAAGTTTAATAATTGAACCCATTCGCACAATTTTTTCACATAAATAAATCATCATCTATTATTTTCTAAACTAGTAAACTATTGTTACTGTAATGTAGGTGCTGTTGTAATATCGGTTGTTGGCCGATGGCACTTTGGATTTTGGACAGATAGCTGGATATTTCGCAGACCAGCAAATTTTTCTTGCGGACCAGTGTCCATGGACAGTGTCAGTGTCAGTCCACGGACCAGCGGTTGAAAAACACTATTTAGAAGACAGTTGTCCTCTTGATTTAGAGAGGTGAACTAAAATGTTACAATGTAGCATAATTTTATATTAACATACATTCAAAAAAATATTACATACCACTACATTCTTCTAAGATTTGCACAGTCTCACCAATTTCAAGTGGAAGTCCATATTTTGTGTTTCCATCATAATTATAAATGCCTTAGAAACAAGGAAGCAACCAAAAATTATTACATTAAAAACATGATTTTTTAATCATTTAAAAATTCAATACTGCATAGAATTGCAGAAAGATTTCTTAGATGTACACTTAAATAATACTGAAAAAGTTTACTAATTAAGATAAGTTTAAAAAATTGGAAAATTTAGAATATTGGAAGTCAGGAAAAATGATTTAACTGCACATTCTGCACATTCCTTAGAACATAATAATTATAAATACTTTAAAAACAAGGAAGTAATATAAATTATTGTGTGACGACCATATTTAAATCGCTTAAAAATTCCATTCTCAAATAAAACACAGAACAACAAGTTTAGAGAAAAGACCGAAAAATTCATATAGAAAAATAAGTCTAAAACTGAAAACAAATAGCAAATTCCTCAAGTATTAAAATTAAATGCTGAGTTTAAAAAACTTAAATTACACTACTTCGAAGTAATACTCACAATAGACCTCTTAGAAGTTACCATGTTTACGGCAAATATTATAATATTTGAGAAATTTCAAAAATCAAGTAGTTAATACATGAGCACAATAAAGCACATAATACGGAATGCTATGAAATTGTTAAAAAATAAATATAAATGAAGCTTCTATATTCAAGAAGTTTGTTTACAAAAACTTTACATCATTAATAAATTTCCAGTTTAATATATTTAATGAACAAAATATGCAAAAATTATAGTTTAAATATGACAAAGTGAAAAACTAATCGACGGCAATAATGTGACAAACAATAATAATTATAACTCAGATCTTTTAACAATAAAAAAATCGTGTAAACGGCATTTAAAAAAAAAAAAAAAAACTAACATCGAAGAGCTGTCAAAATAATTAAATACCCCACAAAAATAAAGTGTTCACAGATAACTACTAAAATTAATAAATTTTAAATATTTTAAAAGGTTGATGAATACTTACATACTCCCAATTTTTTATTTTTGGTAGGATTCCACATTATTCTAATCTCACCTAATAAATTATTACCTTAAAATTAGCGCATACTTTTCTCTCACACCTACAACACGCCATATTTTCATTCATGTCGTTGCCAACGTTCAAAAAGGATACTTTAGCAATCTTGCTTTTAATCAAGAAGAAGGAGATGAGGATTTTCGTGAACACCGTTTACTCCAGTCCATGAGTACTCAGATATTCAAAAAAGGATACTTGAAACTTTAATGACCCATGATTAAAAGGGACTTCCCAGCTACTGGCCGGCCAGATGCATTTTTAAAACGCTTGAAAATAAATTTTTCTGTTATAAGTGAAACAAAGGCACTCGACATGAACGCTGAAAGCTTAGTGTTGTAAAATGAACTGAAGTAATAACCGGCACAAGGCGCTGCTGTTTGTGACGTCAGCCTGAGTGCTGAGTGTTTTCGAATGTTTTGCGTGTGGACGAACGAAAGCTGATCTCGGAAGAGTGATACTGTTTTGATGGAAATAAAGAATGATTTATTAAGAATTTTTTTGTCTTTATTCATAATGCACCCAACCTCGGGTAGAGGCAGGCCCGCAACTGAACGAACTGTTTTAAATGTATTTGATTTATATATTTTCTGTGTTCTTCGTAACATAGTGGTACCCTCGGCGGGATCGGGTGCTTTAAATTAGAATTTTCCGATTGAACTTTTGATATTGAATTTCGATTTTGAATATACTTTGAAGATGGATTTGATCGCTTTAAAGGCTCAAAGAAAAGGACTTAGAATTGCGTTTTCGCAAACCTCAAGGAAAACCGAAAGTGAATTAACTAAAGAAGTAAGAGATTTGAAAATACTTTCGATTTTGAAGTGTCAACTTTGTGATAAATTCCAGAGACTTGACGTATGCCAGAGTGCTATATCGCAGCAAATTCTGCAGACTGAAGATGGAGAAAAATTATTTAGTGATGATTTTCAAGAAGCGGAGAATTATCGAGATAAGTTTCTAGAACAGTGTGCTCAAATAGATGCGGAAATACAAGCCTCCTCTCCTTCAAATAATTCCGAATCTAGGAAATTTAAATTGCCTAAAATTGAGCTTAAAAAATTCAGTGGTGAAGCTAAAGATTACCTGACTTTTTGGAGTCAGTTCCAGAAAATCCACGATGACAAAAGTATCGCCGATGAAGATAAAATGCAGTATCTATTGCAGGCCATGGAACCCAAATCGAAAGCAGAACGCCTAGTCCTTAGCTTCCCGGCAACGGCAGCTAATTATCCTAAAGCCATCGAACAACTAAGAGAGCGCTTTGGACGCGAAGATTTACTTGTGCAAATCTATGTGAGAGACTTGTTAAGCCTAGTGATGAAGAACGCTGTAACCGGAAGAGCAAAAACGGATCTACCCTCCCTGTATGATGAACTAGAAGGAAAATTGCGAGCGTTGGAAAGTTTGGGGAGAACCCAAGAAAAATATGGGGATTTTTTGACCCCTTAGTGGAAAGTTGCTTACCAAGAAGAAGTACTGATGGCATGGGAAAGAAGCAGAAATCACGACTCCATTGAAACTAAAGGGAATCGATCTTTGAAATATTTAATGAATTTCTTAAAACAGGAAGTTAAGGGGAAGAGAGATGGTTCTCCTCGCAAGAACTGGTTTCGCTTCCCAACAGAACCATCGGGAAAGAAAGAAAGATTTTAACCACGAACAGGTAAAGCAAAATGATCCCGTAACAGCATCATCAGCTCTAGTAAGTCTTGAGAATTCAGGTAAGAGTGTTCCAAACTGTAATTTTTGTGAAAAGAAACATTTTAGTGAAAAATGTTACTCTGCAAAAAAAAAAAAAAAAAAAAAAATGACTTTAGCTGAAAAACAACAATTGTTGTTGAAAAAAGGTGCTTGTTTTTCTTGTCTGAAAAGAGCGAGTCACATTAGTAAATTTTGTCCTTTCAAAGGTAAGTTAAGTTGTTCTATTTGCAAAAGTTGTAATCATTTTGATGTAATGTGTAATCAAAAGCTAAAAAATAATGATCAGATAAATGTTTCAAAAGAGAGTTCTCTTTCTAACTGTGGCAGAAGCGAAACTGTATTTTTGCAAACGCTTTGCGTTCGAATTCGGTGTCAAGGTCGCGAGAAAATTATTCGCTGCATAATTGATAGCGGAAGCCAAAGTAGCTACGTTAGTGAAAATATGATGAGTCAGCTTAAAGCATCTCCACTTCGGGAGGAGACAGTTATACATGCACTGTTTTGGGGTGGGCGAAACGAAACCTAAACAACATGAAGTGTTTTCGGTCGAGGTCAGCAATTTAAAAGGAACATTCGCATGTAGTTTTGAGGCATTATCGGAAAAAAAGATTTGCGGTTTTATTCCTAAGGTTAAGGATAAAGAGATTTTGAATGAATTAAAAGAAAAAGAAATCGAATTTTCTGATCCATTGCGAAAGGAAATTGAAATTAACCTTTTAATCGGAGCAGATGTTATAGGAAAATTATTGACGGGAAATTCTATTGAATTACAGTCCGGGGTAACGGCTGTCGAAACGAAACTTGGGTGGACGGTATTTGGAAAACGAAATTCGGGTGAAAAGGATAATATTTTGAAAACATTTTCAATGCATGTCAGGAGAATTCCTCTGAATGAGTTATGGGAACTTGAAAAAAATAGGAATATGCGCTCCAAACGAAACTGTTAAAATGAATGAAAGTTTTAATTTATCTGAATTTGAGAACAAAATGAAAATTCTTCCAGATGGAAGATATGAAGTAGAACTTCCGTGGAAATGTGATACGACACATTTAACCGATAATAAAGAATTATCCTGGAAAAGGTATCAAAAGATGATCTATAAACTCAGATGTAGTAAATTTTTCGATGATTATCAAAATGTGTTCAAGGAATGGGAAAGGTTGAATATTATTGAACGCGTACCAGAAAACGAACTGAATAATGAATGTCATTATTTGCCGCATAGGCCTGTAATCAAATTAGGAAGTGAAACCACGAAAATTCGTCCTGTTTTTGACGCTTCTGCATCTGAGAAAGGGAAACTCTCTTTGAACGAATGTTTGTGTAAAGGAATAAATCTTATTGAATTAATACCTGATATTATAGATCGTTTTAGAATGTATCCGATTGGTATTAGTGCCGATATTGAAAAAGCTTTTTTAATGTTATCCGTCGCATCTAAAGATAGAGATTTTCTCAGATTTTTTTTTCCCATGCAAGGAAGGGCAATTAATTTATAGGCATTGCAGAGTTGTGTTTGTTTGGAGTTTCTTCGAGCCCCTACTTGTTGAACGCATCTATAATGCATCTATTAGAAAACTGTCCACGTCAATATAGTGAAGTTGCTCAAAAATTGAAATCGTCATTTTATGTGGATAATTGTTTATCTAGTGTTTTTTAGTATTGATGAACAGTTTACGTTTATTGAACATTCCAAATTAATCATGTCAAATGGATGTTTTAAGCGGTTTTGAAAGCAATGTGGCTGGTACAAATGTTGACAAACATTCAGGGGATACTTCCGTTTTGGGGGTAATTTGGAATTTGGATAATGATACGCTGAGGTGCTGCACAGACACAGATACATTGACCTGTGATACGAAAATCACAAAGAGGACAATTTTGGCAATTGTGCAGACAATTTTTGATCCTATTGGTTTATTTATTAACGCCAACTACATTGCTTCCAAAACTGTTGTTGCAAAAATTGTGGAAAGTGAAAATTGCATGGGATGATGAATTGTCTCCGAATGATGTAAATATATTTTTGAACTGGTTTAAAGAACTTAATGTTTTGAAAGATGTTACTTTGCCTCGATACTTGTTTATCAATGACACGTCTGAACTACATGTATTTGTGGATGCTTGCAAGGGGGCGTATGCAGCGTGCGTCTTTGTTCGATCAATATTTAATTCTGAAGTAAAAATAAATCTCGTACGGGCGAAGTCTAGAGTATCGCCTTTGAAATCTTTAAGCATTCCTCGCTTAGAATTAATGGCCTGTTGTATAGGTTCTAGACTTGCAAATTCTATTATCAAAGGCTCTCAGTTTGCCCGATTTAAAAGTTACCTTCTGGTCTGATTCAACCACTGCCCTTTGGTGGATAACAGAGCAAGGAAATTGGTCCGTTTTCATCGAAAATAGGGTTAAAGAGATTCGAGAGTTGACGCGAGGTCATTCATGGAGACATATCCCAGGGAAACTAAATATTGCCGACTTGTTATCGCGCGGATGTTTTGCGAAGCAAATGCTTCGGTCTAGATGGTGGGAAGGCCCCTTGTGGTTGCGAGAAGGCCCTGAAAACTGGCCCACTGGTGAGATTATTTGTTTGCATGAAGAAATAGAATTGGAGAGGAAAAAGATAAAAAGAGTGAATATTGATCTATCAAAAGACGCACCCCCTTGGCATCGAATCAGTGTATCCAATTATGATAAAATGATTAGAGTATTTGCATGGATATTTAGATTTGTAAATAATTGTAAAGGTGGTTCTGAAAAGAATGGAAACATTGAACTTTCACAGTATGAAATTGAAAATTCTGAGAAAAATTTAATTCGTTTGGTTCAAAATTATTATCTGACTGATAAGAAATATTATAATTTTATTGAAACGCTCATTGATGATGATGGTATTCTAAGAGTTAAAACGAGAATACTAAATAGAGATGACCATGAATCCTTTCTGTATCCAATACTGTTACCAGAAAAATGTGATTTCACTAAGTTATTAATCAGAAATGTGCATAATAAGAACTGTCATGCTGGTCTTCAGATGATGCAATGCATATTACGAGAAAGATTTTGGATAGTCAGAGCTAGAAAAAAGCCATTAAAAATGTCCTCTTTAACTGTATCGTTTGTAAAAGATTTAAAACTAAGGCCTATGTCAAGCGAACCGACACCTCTTGCCACCAGACCGAGTTACGGATTGTGCGCCATTTGAAATCATAGGGATTGATTTGGCCGGACCGCTGTTTTTAAAAAATGGAGGGAAAGGTGTGGATCGCGCTGTTCACCTGCGCTGTGTACCGTGCCATTCACCTTGAACTTGTAAATTCTCTTTCTACTGATGCGTTTCTCCTGGCGCTTCGACGATTTGTTG